GGGTTATAAGTCGTGAAACCCCGCAACAGTGTTAACAGATTAATGCGAGTAGGGTTATAAAGTGTGAAACCCCGCAACTGTGAGATAATTAATTGTAGCCGTTATTTGTAGATTGTTAAATAAACCAATCAACCATCTCTACGGCGTCTTCAGTAACGCAAAACACGTTACAATATTTTACTGAAAATGAGAAGTACCCAATTTTCTTCCATAAAACATGTGTGACTTCTGTGTATTACGGTATAAAAGGTATTCCTGTAACAGACTGTAAAGGCCCATAGGGTTGTGAGACATCAAGGCTCCCACATTTTCTCTAGACAATCAGCTCACAGATGGCAGTAAGGTTGTTAGCCTTATGCGCCAGTCCCCCCCCCCCCCCTCCCAAGGAAGTTTCCTGGTACTTATTCTGAGTCAACCCCAGGGCCATAGTATGGCTGTTGAAAAAATCCACCTCATCAGGACTGAACTTGCCATCTTCTGGCTTGTAGAATAGTGTGTGGGACCCCCCACATACTAACACGCAGCTTCGTCTGTCTAACAGACAGCATTCAACTTCTGCTCAAGCCAAGTCAGTGTCACGTTACGGCCAGCACTCGATGTCCAGCCCACCTGTAGATCATCACGTGTGCTAGCCAATTAGTGCTCACAATCGCTGCAACTTTAGCTCCGCCCAACAAGCATGGTATAAAAGGTGGGGCTCAAAGCACGCTATGATCAGTTCTTCAATTGTCCTCATTACGACAAAGAGAGGTAATTCAGCTACTCTGACATCACAAAGCAGCAACAGCTCTCCAACAACCGCGCTGAGACAATGGCTCTGTCATCTCCAGCACCATAGGCAGCTGTTCCTACCGGCTCATGCCGCACTGCAACACCGGTCAGCCAGACCAGCTGAATGGCCATAAAGTAGACCTGATCTGCTACAAAGCAGCTAATGCTACTAGCACAAGCAGGGTCGAACAAACAGCCCTTTTCAGGGCCCACAAACTTGTGAGCAACTATTCTGTACATTCGAGAATGACATATATGATTGTTATTGTTTTATGTGGTTGTCTCTTAGAACATTCACATCCCACATGTGCTTCAACAAACTACATTAATATTATATTTTCTGTGAATTAAATTCCTCATACATGACGTTTTAGGCAAGAGGATCAGCTGATCTCTATACAAAACACTGAACCCTCATTCATGAAGGTTTGAGTTTGATCCCTGACCAGGTCTGTGTTCAGATTTTTCTCCTCATGCATTGAATCCTTGACCAGTGCCAAAGATAGAACTATGGAAATATGAAGAATATTTCGCCCCTCCTCCTTGGCTTGGAGTCTGCATTAAGCTGTAGGTCCCCTTTGTCAACCATGACTGTCTCACAACCACCCTGTCACTGGAGTAATATAATCCACTGTATTTATACTTTCACTTCAGAAAGGAATTCTACACCCTTGCCTAAGTGAACAAAGGCCAAAAATTGTAACAGAAGAAACTTATGGAGGTACCAGACAGACAGTAACAATAAACATATAAGAAGACAGAACTTTACCCAACATCAGGTGTTTGAATTCTATTATAGTGGTAGGTTGTTATTTTATTTATTTTTGTTTTTTGTGGAAAAAATTAGGATTGAACCCAGGCCACTCATATACAATGTCTCTGCCATAAATTAAACATAGCTCTTTATTTGATTATATTCATACAAGACTCAGTAAGTTTACAAGTACTAAGAGGTACTAAATTTTAATCTATACTGAAATCTGGTATTATTTTTTTGGGCAAGGAGTAAATAACGGTACAAAAAATTACAAAAAAAAAGGGTCTAAGGCTCATTAAAGGAGTGCAAAACAGGGTGTCCTGTAGAATTCTGTTTGGTGAATTTAAGATTTTAACAGTAACTTCTTTATATATATATATATATGACATATTATGCTTTTTAAAGAAGAACATGATCCACACAACTCATTATTCTGACATTCACAAGTATAACACTAAAGGAAAACAGGATTTGTATGTATAAACATGCAACAGTGTTTGTTGCGAAATAAGTGTAATTAACATGCGAATTAAAATACATAACAGCTTGCAACCTGAATTAAAAAGAACAGAAATTGTTAAGGTTTTTAAAAATAAATTAGAAAGTTATCTACTACAAGTGTTTTTATTCTCTGCAGGAGTTCTTTTTCATGTTAGGTGGGTCCCTTATCACCACGGCATGNGGAGTTTTTAGTAACAATGATGGGCTGTAGTTTGGTGGCTCAGGTTGGTTCTGATGCAGTGCGGATGTATATAGATGGTATAAGTGTATGTGTTGCTTTATATTGGATTGTTTGAGGATGTCATCATTGGTTGCTAGACTCAGTAGGGGCACAGTGATCCTAAGATGATCGTATTGTTTTCAGTCTTGTGTATCGTTTTGTACATTTTGAAGAGTTGTTGACTTGTAGCGTTTTAGATGACTTAAACTGACTTGTCCAATTGCACTTGTGTAACAGTTTATGGATGTAAATAAATTATGAATTATAGATAGTCATCAATAAAATTATTTCCACTTATTTAATGACAGTAGTGGGTTTAATTTTGTTAGTGTTTCTTTTATCAGGTATGCTTCAGACAGTGAACAGTGTCCTGTACAATCATGTAGTAAATAAAATATATAAAATATCTGATTAGAATAAGAATGCTTATTTATACTTTTTTTTTAGATAAGCCAGAATGCGGAATTACGCAGGGAGAAGTGGATGGCAAGCTTGCTTTAATCTGTGCAGCACATGCAAATCCCAGAGAGGTTGACTTCACTTGGCGAATAAAAAATGAAAATGATACACTTGAGGAGAATATTGAGAAGAAAGGACTTCAGAGTATATTGATGCTGGACAGTCATGTTGAAAACTTCCGAACTTATGTATGTGTTGCCAACAATTCAGAAGGACCATCGGTTCCATGTGAACGCGATGTTACACGTAAGTATTTTACATGACTAGTTAAAGTATTGCACCCTCATGCATTATATGTTATCTATCCATTTGAAGAGGAAGCATTTGGTTTGTGTTAATGTGAAAATGTTTGATTTTTATGAATTTTTAGGAAACAAAAATATAATTAAATCTTTTGTATTATTACCGCCATCCTTGTCGTCGTCGTCGCTCAGCGAGACTTCAAGCCTCTCGAGTTGGTCGTCACTTATTACCGTCCTTCACGTTCGCCCCTTTGTGGTCTGCATTTTCATCCGCCGCTTCCCTGTAGCTGTCTGGTTCAGGGTAGGGTGTGGGATTGCTCTGAATTTGAATTTTTTATGGGCGCCAGTGGACTTGGGTGAAATCCACGAGTTTGGAACGGGGAAAACAAAGGTGGGGATTTGGATAGGCGGGCGTTTTGGGTTCCGACTTCTCAGACGGTAGGAAGAGGTTCTGTCTCAGGGCGACTTCTGGGCCTTGCTCACACAAGGAGAGAGAGAACACTAAAAACACACACTTCACCAACACTGTTGCTTTTATTGTAGATGTTCACTGCAATTACCCATTACCCAGCTGTAGCACTTTGAGTTTAAGGTCTTTCATTCTGGTCCGTCACACTAACCAATTAACAATCAAGTTCCTTCCGTCAAATGTGACACTTTTTTAAGTTTTTCACCTCGTCACCACCTGCCTTACATGTTTCGGCTCACCACGGAGCCATCATCAGAGGCATTTATAGTAGAAAAAGAAATCACCAACACACAAAACTTCACTTTGTCCAAGATAGCCACGTTCCAGTTAATTAAAATANTCTAGGGATTTTAAGAATTCTTACTTCAAATAACGAAACATAATTTTACAGAATTAACGACGAATCAAATAAGAAAGCTACTGTGGTGTGTGAAAAACTTTTAGTGAACCGACACTCTGGGTAATTTTAACTATTTGTAAATATTTTAATTAACTGGAACGTGGCTATCTTGGACAAAGTGAAGTTTTGTGTGTTGGTGATTTCTTTTTCTACTATAAATGCCTCTGATGATGGCTCCGTGGTGAGCCGAAACATGTAAGGCAGGTGGTGACGAGGTGAAAAACTTAAAAAAGTGTCACATTTGACGGAAGGAACTTGATTGTTAAGTAGCACTTTGAATTTGTACACCGGACTCGGGCCGACACCGATTTAACGTCCGGGAGGTTACTACTGACTCCGGTTATTCCCTTTGGCTACTCACTCCTGTTACTCACTGTTGATGTCTCACCACTCTTATTCCCTTGTAATGTCTGACTGCTCTGGAGAGGCAGAAGTCCCGACAGTTCCGGGAACGCCTTGATTCCTCTCCTCTGAAACTTTGCTGATTGGCTGAACCTAAAATTTGGGTGTTTCTCTCATTTGCATTCAGCCAATCCCTAACCAGATCCATGTTAATTTGGGCCTAAGTACAACACGGTCCCTCTGACAGCTCTCAAATAAATGGAGGTACGCTAACGATCGCTCAGTACACCCCTTCAAAAATTATTGCGATTCGTATCTGTCAAGTCTCAAATTTTCAAAGACTCGCACCGTCGAAGTTAAGCATTGAAATCCCCAGAAGACACAGTGGGATACTTCCTGCTCCGTTCTGGGTTTTCAAGTGACCTGCAGCTTGCTTGTCCCTCAGAAAGACCAGATGTTGTCCTTGGCGTCTGCTGGTGCTGGGGTCAATTCTGTATCATTTATTGTTAACAGTAGTACAGTTCATTTACATGTAGTACATTGTAATTAAAAATGTAAATCAACAACATTGCTGAGGTTTCCGCTTATTTCGGTTACAGTATCTACCTCTTCATGAACTGTAATTCCCCTGGGAATTTTTATATATATACGTATATGCTTAAAAAAATGATATTTTAGTTACGATTATAAATGAAGCACTTGTGGTCTTTTATGTGGTAGTAGTCTATAATATCTTTGAGAGCCTGTGTAAAATAATAAACACTGGAATTCAAATAATCTGTAGTACAGTCAAATTTGTTACATCATAAAATATAAGTCACTCGTGCCATTTTTGGAGCTAAATTTTAGGTAACAGAACTAAAGTTCTTGATTTTAGTTTTGGTTTGAACATACGGTTAGAGATTTCAGTCCTCATTTTTGTCTTCTGTCAAATGTATTAGAAAATTATATAATAGGACTATCTCAGGGCAGTCCCTGTCTATTGTTCCCACCAGTTCCTCCCCTTTGAAACTTGTGTAAGACTTCCAAAAGCTCATTTTTCACATATTGTCTACTGAATAAATGGAATAGAAGTTCAGAAAAATTGGTTGAATAAAGCTGTCAATTACTTTTATTTTATAGCAGTTTATGTTGCCACAATTCTACATAAATTAATTTATGTTATAATTTTGTAATGGTGTGCCCAGTTTGTCTTTTCACTAGTAATTAATAATATTTACTACCACACAAATTTTTATCTTAGAAACATTTGCTTCTCTTAGTTCATTACATGTTTCAACGAGACTTTGTCATCATCAGGTAAGGCATACACAGAGGTTAACAAGTTTTATACAAGTAACAAATGCAAAAATTAAAAATTGGAGCAGAAGCCTTCATTAAGGCTTCCACTTTATGTGCTTATGCAGGTATGCTGTATTTCATGGTGACACTGATGGTAGTCCAGGCTTCTACCCTTTCTGCAAGCTGGTGGTTGCTTTGATCTGTTCCATCCACCACAAAATGTTTTCATCTAAAGGAGAGGTTTTACACCAAGCCATTCTGAATTTCCTTTGGACATTTGTGTCTGATCTTATTTCTGCCATCCACCACCCATAAGCAGCCTTCTGTTGGTCAGATTGCATTCTTAGAGCAATTTCCAGCTGGCTTCTATCACTGTAATGACATTCACGTTGACGTATGTGCACATCCACTTTTGCTGGGTACAACATGAAGTATGAATAAAACATTCAGAGTTTTTCTCTTACATGGTGAAAACCACATTCTTGTAGCTTTGTCAGTTTTAACAAACTTTTTTAAAATGTGGTCCTTCTCCCTCAGACATTGTATTATGGCCTGATGTTGACAGCTAGCAATGATAAATCATGTTATACAGTTAATAATAATTGTATATAAAGTAGTGGCAGACGGTGCACCTATGTGTATTGATTAAAGAAACCTAACATGATGCTTATATATATATATTTAATATAAAGAAGCTAATTGTATAAACTGTTACCCTCTATGTAAACACTATACTGAAACCAGGATGAACAGATACCGTCATATGAACCCTTAGCCTTATCATCTGGTATAGAGAATTTCAGATGCTTTGGACTACAAGACTGACAGTAAGATTCTATTTTGATAGGTTATGGTATTACTTACTTATTTACTTACTAATGGAGCTGAGTATTCTTGAGGAGCTGCCAATTCTGCAGCTACTCAAGAATGTCCCAGCATTTTATGGAACCAAAAGGTCCATTACCATGTTCACAAGAGCCCTCCACTGCTCCCTATCCTGAGCCAAATCAATTCAATCCATACCCTCCCATCCTATCTCTCTAAGGTCCACTTTAATATTGTCCACCCACTTACACCTTGGTCTTCCCAGTGGTCACTTTCTTTTTGGCTTCCACACTAATATCCTATACGCATTCCTTGTCTCCCCCATTCGTGCTACATGCCCTGCCCACCTCACCCTCCTTGACTTCATCACTTTAATTATACTTGGAGAAGAGTACAAGTTATGAAGGTCCTCATTATGCAGTTTTCTCCAACCTCCTGTCACTTCATCCCTCTTCGGTCCAAATAGTCTCCTCAACAGCCTGTTCTCAAACACTCTCGGTCTGTGTTCCTCACTTAATGTCAGAGACCAAGTTTCACACCCATACAAAACCATGGGCAACATTATAGTTTTGTATATTCTAATTTTTATGTTTTTGGACAGCAGACAAGAAGACAAAAGGTTTTTGACCGAATGGTATCAAGAATTACCCGAGTTCAATCTCCACTTAATTTCCTCCTCAATCCTGGTTTTATTTGTTATAGTCGTTCCCAAATATCTGAACTGTGTCACATTCTCAAAACATCTGTTTACTATCTTTAAGTCATGATTTTGCCCTGTATTTTGGTGACGAGACAGCAGCATATTGAAAAATGAAATAGTGAGCCAACTGCACAACATATATGCCATCAAAATAGTGCAATTTGTGGCCGAGTATAAGTTACAGGTACTTTCCTTTCTCTGTGATAGTGATGGAAATACTGTCAACCCAAGAAAAACAATGGAAATGTGAAACAAATTGCAGATTTCTACTGAGTCTTTAATCTGGTAAACTTTGTTACATGACTTTGTAATCTCATAAATTTGAGACCATTGAACTTTATGACTTCAAATTGGGACATTACATGATAAAAGCAAACTTCTAGCATGTCAGCATAGCAGATATCAGCTTAGTCAGAAAGACGGAAACACACACACACATATGCCCATGCACGTGCACAGACACACAGGCAAAGGTAAATACTGATATCATAGGCCCACTGTGCTTTATAAAATAAAACAAATATATTTGTAATAATGAAATACTTATAATTTAAAACTTAATTTTCTGAACATAAAAATTGTTAAACATGATATTTTAAGGCAATAGGAGTAAAATATGTTTAAAAATATTTGTTTTTCAATCATACTGAAACATTTAACACATCACAATAAGAAAATAATTTTTATCATCATGTTTCTGGGTATTTACTCAGGTAAACAATGTGAGCAGTTCAGTTGGTTTATTTTTATTGTTGCATTGACTGCCACATACCACCAATCATGATACACAACAGGATGCAAGCACTAAAGATTGCTCAGGAAAGTCTTTCATATTCTGTCAGTCTTTACTTGCCACTGTATTAGGGAGGATGCAATGAAATGTGAGTTGTGAGGCATAGAATGTCATTTTTATACAGGTGTAATGCTCAATTAATATTATGCGTGACAAATGGGATTCTAATACATGCTATAGCATGGCCATAAATAGTCATTTAAAGCCATTCAGTTTTGCTCAACTAAAGTTGTGAACTACATATGAAATTTTAATACATTTTATGACATGGCCATAAATAGTGATTGTAAAGTCATTATACATTTAAAGCAGCAAGTGGGCTGTATCTGCTGTTCCAGCTGAGGTCATTCAGTAATGAAGAATACAGGAAAACTGCATTAATGATTCATCTGATATTGGGATGTGAAATCAAACAAATGTCTTTATAGTTCTTGACACTAACCTTTGTTTTTATCTGAACTCCTTTCTGTAAAATGAAAACCATTTTTACTAAATAAACAATCTTATTCTCTTCTTGCCCAAAAGAATAGTACAGTAGTTCTATGATCATCTACAATTAACTGAGGTACAAAGTTAGCATCTTATCTGTCATTACTATAAATGGACTCTGCCTCTTGCACTGTGCAAATTAAAAGAATTCACTCCTTTTAATAATTGACTGTAATTCACTGCTTTCCAAAATTGAGCAAGATTTTTATACCAGTGAACAGTTGTTAAATACGTGTCAGTTGAAGTGATTTTGAAATGTACTTGTATTTCCTCTTCAAATGGAACTGTTTTTTAAAGTATTATGTATGTAAATTTTATTTATAAAGTTGGTGTTTTCTGACTGATAACTTTGTTACTAATAAACTTTGTTACTTCTAATATAGTTTTACTTGAGTGTCTTGATAGCAGATTATCAGTATAAATTTTCCCTTATGGTAATGAAGAAAATAAGTGATGTAATGTGTATTAATGTGTGTCAAAACTTTTGATAGAAGCTCAAGTTATTAATAACATGCTATTTTTAGTCTAGGAGATTGCATATGAATACCTACGGCTTCAGAAATAGTATGTTGAAAATTCTGGCATATTATCTTGCATACATTCCTATATCATTATTTTCATAATGCCAGGATTATGACATAATATTTTGCAAAGTTGGAAATCTGTTTTACTGAATCTCTGGCCATGTAACGACAGATAAGGTTAATAGAAATCCACCATGATTGCATGGACATGCATTTCATACCAAACTGGCAAATGATGATGGAAACATGCAAATAGCTTGCAGCTGGATTATTGTGCATCATGCTCCACCTGTAACTCCAAGCAGTATTATATCTGATTTATAATCCAAAAGTGCTATAATACTTTCAGAAACTTCTATACATCTTTCTCAAGACTAGCATTTCTTGAAGACATTGCATCACTCATTTAAACACTACATGCCCTAAACACATCTGTCTTAAATTTAAATTCTTGTAGGACTTCTGTCTCTTTAACATACACTTAATGTTATACACACAAATAACCTCTCAAAATTAAGTACTGACTTAGTTATCCAATGCTTTTAGCCTACCAGGAGAAAAGTAGTAAGTTCAGAGATACAGGTATGATGTTTTCCAGTAGTAAAATCACATAATGCTTGCTGCATGCTAGCATGCATGCTGGCTTAGACGTATGTGAATGTGGAGTAATGATTAATTCCAACACATATTTATTTTAATTTAAGCAAATAGTATCATTCTTCTTGGATTAAGTTGATGTGAAAATCTATACAAATTGAAGCTAGCACTATAGCAGATAAATGTTAAGTCCTTTTCATCAACTTCACAAAATTATAAAATAATATTTGTTACCTGAGATTATTATAGTAATCACAGAAGAATAAATGTAATGTGATGTTATCACGTGAAAAAAGGAAGGTGTATGCAGTAATATGTTAGTTGCAGAAAGGTTATAAAATGCAGTACACATCTTCCAACATCTGTGATAAAAGTTGGAAATCCTGTACAATATATACAGTTTGTAGGTGGAACTCATATGTCACATCTGTATGGATTGATAAAGTTTCTCGCTTACAACTTCTCTCCTGCTACAGCTTATTCTACATGTTTCAAAGGCTGGTTAAAAGCAACTTCTTATACATGTGATGTGAACTGCGTGGGTAAGCTCCAGACAGCCAAGTTCCACCTTTGTTTCAGTTCTTCTACAGATTTCCAGAAAGGGAATAGACTTCCCGATTTATTATACACCTATTGACTCAGTAAATTATACCTTACTGTCTAGTTTCACTTATGTCATATATGGAGCACAATTTTAAAATATCTTTCCCTTCATCACTTATCCTAGGTCTGTTGGAATATTGTTACACACAAGCTTGAGTTGAGTTGAGTTGAGTTGAGTTGAGTTGAGTTGAGTTGAATTGAGTTCTCTTCTTGTTATTAATAGTCTTATGTAATTGTTGATGTAAGCAAGAGATTGAGGAGTAAGTAAAAATTTAAATATTTCCTGGGATGATTTATATCAAAATGATTCTGAAAATGGGTTTTGTAGAGTGAGGATTCATTTGCTAAGTATTTTCAATCAGATTAGCTAATGTACTGAAAGGGAAGTATTGTATTCCTGTGATGGACTGAAACTGTATATAGTACTTGTAAGATCAGTGCTATCTCATGCCTCTCAGACCTGGCCACTGTAAAGAACGGATAAAAGACTTAAAGTATATTTGAAAGGAGGGTCTTGAGATATATCTTTGGACCAGTGGAAGAAAATGGAATATGGAGGAAGAGGTATAACCATGAGCTCTACAAACTATTTAATGAATCAGACATTATTGGATTTATAAAGGTGAAAAGGCTTGAATGGGCTGGAGACATAATACGTGCCAGCAAGAATAGAAAGATTAAGAAAATGCTTAATACTAAACCAGAAGGAAATAGGAGAGTGGGAAGACCAAGATTAAGATGGGAAGAATGTGTGTGGCAGGACATAAGAATTTTGGATGTAAGGAACTGGAGGAATGTAACATCGAATGGAGAAGAATGGCAAGCAATCCTGAGGAAGGCCAGGGCTCACAAAGGGCTGTCATGCCAGTGGTGATGATAATGATAATGGACTGAAACAAAAATGAAAAATTCTTAACTTATGTGGATATGTTTGAAGGAAACTGTAACAATGTATATGGAATCTTAAATTCTTCTGTCTATTCTGAACATTATTCCAAAAGTCTGTTTCCAGTAAAACACTTTAAAGAAATGTATTTAAATTTATTTAAATGTGTTAAAATGTCAGATCATGACCAAAATCAGGGCAAATTTAGATTCAAAGTTAATACTGAGATGCCAGAAAACAAATGGGAGGTTTCTCAGGGGCTTGGGTAACAACACGTATAGTTACATTTTTATTTTATGATCACAAATATTGTATGACTTTTTAAAGCCATCAGTACTGTCTTGTGATACTGAATTTGTCTATGTGTTCTTTTTATCATTGCACAGTTTATAATACTGGACAATTAGTGAATGTAAAGCCAGTTCTCAGAATGTTATAAAAATGGAAACAATAGCATATCATGTCCCTATCAAGTTAAGAACCATTCGACCTGAAAATTCTTTGTTCTGATGCTAAACCACAAACTTTATTCAGATTGGTGACTCACATTGACATGTTTCAGAAATGTGCCATGAAGTGACAAATGTGCACTGTGACTGTTAAATTATTTATTGTATTATTTATCTGTTTTCAATTTCAGTTTCATAAATAGTAACCTTTTGCTAGCAGAATATTTTATGTTCATGGTCTGTAATACCAGATTTTTAAAATATTGCATATTCTGATAAAATTTAAGTGAGTTTGTGTATTCCATCAGATTTTGATGAATATTCTTTATACAATTCTGTATTTCAGCATCCTGTTGCAATTGTTTAACCCAACGTCCATATATTTATCGTCCATCAGTATTACAACACTGCTTTATTCACTACTTAATTTTAATTTTAGTTTAACATTATACACTTGGACACTACATGTTTTGGCCCCAAACAGCCATCTTCAGGTGTCTTGATGTGTTACAAATATTTTATTATGTTAAAACTGCTACACTGTGTAAGTCCATGTTAAAATCACATGCTGTAGTCCTCTTTTCAAGGTAAAACCAGATAAAATCCATTAAAGTTTCTGTTGAGGGTGTGTTTTGTTTTGGCAGCTTGCCCCTCACGTTTGTAGCCTACTTTTCAGTTATGACTGTCATATGCCCCTGGATTGCGTGTTTTCTCCACAGTGTGTGGTGTTGTCTTTTCTAGTCTATGCCAAGGGCATATGGTAGTCATAACTGAAAAGTAGGCTACGAAAGTGAGGGACAAGCTGCCAAAACAAAAAACACCCTCAACAGACATACATTTATGAACAAGGGACGACACCCCATGTGAAGTGAAATAAATTGCACCAAAATAACGTGGGTATAATAGAAACTTTAATGGATTTTATCTGGTTTTACATTGAAAAGAGAACTACAGCGTGTGACTTTAACACAGACTAACACAGTGTAGCAGTTTTAACATAATTTAATAAAATATTTGTAACATATCAAGACACCTGAAGATGGCCGTTTGAGGCCGAAACATGTAGTGTCAAAGAGTATAATGTTAAATTAAAATTAATATTAAGTAGTGAATAAACAAGTGTTGCAATAATGATGGACAATAAATACATGGATGTTGGATTCTTTATACACTTTGAAATTATTTATAGCTCACACAAAGATATGTAGTTGAAATGAGAATGTACCTGCATGTACCACTTCCCTTTCCAACGAATTAATAATGGTTTGCTTACGTACTCTCAAAGTATAGATGGCAAAAAATTATTGTTCTATCTTGCAGTTGAGATAAGCTGGTGGGGAAAACTGGATAATGAACACCTCATCATTATTATTGCAATCGTAGTGGGAGCTATTGTAATGGTGCTCATTGTCTGCATCATCATTATCATTGTGTGCAGAAGAAAACGTGCTGAAGACAAATGTAAGTAGATAGGCATGTGCACATCTCACACACATCATGCAGGATAGTGCATATTGGGTGGGTAAAGCAGTATGAAATATACTGTGCTCTTAGATGTTGTTTGCTTCATTAGTTCTGCATGACAGGCAGAAATATATGATGCACTTGCATGCAAGTATTCAGTGGATGTTGAAGGCTGATCTGTTTCATTGTATTTTTTGTTTTGAATGGGAAAATGTGATTTTTGATAAAGCAATTTTACATAAATAATTTGCAATAGTGTAAAACTGTTTTATAATATGTGTTCTTATCTCTGTGTGTGTTTTCAGTAATGTGAAACTTAAGTTAAAGTAAGATTTCAGTTTAAGTAATAAATATTTTAATTACAATAAAAATGTAGTTTATTTTGGTGCAGTATAATATCACTGACTAGAGGGCTAAAGGGTAAGGACTTTGAAAACCTACCATTAATAATACACAATTGATACCTTCTAATCAAGTGTTGCACTTTAATTAATCACTATTTAATACATACAAAGAAAATACTGATATAATTTATTTAAGAAATTTTAATTCTCCTGTATGCAATCAATTTGATGTTTAGACTAGATGCAGTGATGAAAAAAAACTAAATATTTCATCAATATATATATATATATATATGTATATCCATCACAATGCAACATAAGATTATTACAGAAATATCTGCGGTAAAATTTTAGTTGAAAACACAATACTTAAATTTAAATATCTGTGCAATGATTTCTTACACATTGACACTGATTTCCATATTTAAAATTATAACTCAGTATTCTAGTAACAAATATCTGAATATGTATTTCAAGTGGAAACAAATATACATACTTTCCAGTTGTATAAACAGAGAACAAAAGTCTGTTCTTATTCTAAATGCAAGCAGAAAGAATGGGTCTGCTGGTAAACTACAAGTAGAATTATATAGATACAAGTATGACTGTATAAGGGGTGGGCCTTTTTGGCCCTTGCACCATGAACACAGTAATCTATTGTGCCTTACGTCGTTACAAGTAGCTGACACAGATTTTTATTAGTGACATCAGTGATATCATATATAAGGTTAATATTAGAATTTGTTAGCTTCAATGAGCATGTTATTTCTTTATCGCAGATCTATCAGGCTGTGGACACACTTGCATGTGTGTGGTTTTGGGTACACTAGAAAAGCTGATTCCTCCTGGACATCGAATTACTACAAATGACATTATCAAGCAATCAAGTAACACTGTGCTAATTTTAACCCATTAACAATCGAGTTGACTAACATAATGTTTTACCTTTAATTTATAGACAATAATCCAGTGGAGATGGAGGAGAGAGAAAAGTAAGTGTCCATTATGCTTTATTGCTTCTTCACCCTGATTTCCTTTGTCACAAATTCTCAAGGCAACTTTGTACCATCAGATTATATAAGTTTACGTGATAGAAGGCCAGTCATATAAACTATTGTATTTGTTTTCAATAATAAATATAAGTTTTTAGTCTTATATTGTTTATTTTCTGATTTATAATCAGAACAAGAACACTTTTCATGATTGGTCTCTTATGAAAGTTCAAGTTGGAAAGTGTGGTATCCTCTAATCCTTTGTTTGCCTTGAGATAAGTTGCAAGAAACTTAATCTGGAAATCTAGCAAAGATTTAGGAGTGTTATAGTTCAGGTTTGGAATCACTATTATACAACAGAGGTATGTTATGTTACTAACATGTTTCTAATTTAGTGTTACTTAAGTTAATGATAAATTTTGTATTATACATTCCACTATCAAAATGTATGAATATTGCTCATGAATCTCCCTCTATCCATAAGCATGTTTTCTAGCATCAGTATCTTGAAGTACTACATAATAATCTTCACATAACTCTGAAATTTGGGTTGCTTTGGTAATTTCTCTTTTATTCTTGAAGATGTATATAAATTGCTGTTATGTTGTTGCTAAGAGAGGATTCCCATGTTGGTGTATCATATTTTTAAAAATATTAATTTGCATCCAAACATAACTGCACAAAAAATAACATACAATCCAAATTTCTATTAAAAAAATAAGTAGAAATGTGCCAGTTTATTTAAAAGCATAATTTTTGTCTCCCTGCAATTTTGAAAACTTAACGCGTAGGTATTAACATTAAGTTTTGTGCTTTATTTCGATACGTGTTACATGGAAAGGTAAGCTACTCTAATTTTGTGATAAATGTTCATCTTATAAAGAAGTACAGTAGAAAATTACACTTTTTGTAGCAGGTATCAGAGGCTTGTTACAAATCTCTGTGGTCCTCACAAAATGTAAGTATATGCCCTGTTTTCTGCAGATCTGTCTTCCTATGATAGCTGTTATTTGTTTATCATGCTATCATTAATTTACAGTGGTGTGATTAGTAGTTTATATCCTTAGAGTATAATCAGTCAGAAGTTGCCTTTTACTTGCATCCAGCTTGTAAATAAATAATGTAATATGAAGCAGACTAGTTTCCATGTAACTTACACTAGTATCAGACTTAACACATCTAACCAAGCTCCAGATTGTAAATGTACCACAGAATTAGCTGTTTGAGCTTGACTACAGGCAAAAGATTTGATGTGCTTACAAGTTTCCTAAAATTGTAGTATTTAAATGCACCAAAATGAAGTTTCCATTGATATTGTGAATAATAATATTTATGTAAATGAACCAAATGTCTCTAAAATTTAAATCCTTATGTCAGACTACATATGAGGAAACCTATGATTGTGTGAAAGTTTTGACCGTGGGAATCCTTATCTCTTGCAACAACATTTCAGTTACACTCCTCATCGGGCCGTTCACCACTGATAAGCTCTAATTGTTATTGTCATGCAAAGATTCCTATCCCGAAGTCCTGAGGGACGACCAACAATTGATGCATCTCCAACTTCCATGACTCTAGCTTCTTCTCCTGACAAACAATATCCAGGTAATTTCCACTTCAGTTTTATGCACTACTTCCCAGTAAATAGATTTTGCTCAGAATGGCCTCAAGTTGGGCCATGAGAGTGAACTTTACACCATTGGAAAGTAACTGAAGTGTTGTTTTTTCTCCTAAAAAATAAAAGCTTAGAGAGCATTTTCTTCAGTTGCCTTAAACTTTCTATTTTACTAGTCATATACCTACACTTATCAGTTCATTATAAGCTTCCAAATCATGAATATACTTAAGGAAATAATATTCTAAAGTTCACTGTCAGGCCTAATGCATTGCTCGAGTACAGCCAAAACTAAACACAATCGTAGTTCTTATATTACAGATTGTTTCACTTACAACTTCTGTCACTATTGAATTTGAAAGTATTTCTTTTGACTGGCACATTTCTCATTGCTTTTCTGGCATTAAATTTAACAATATTTCCATTAATTCTAGATTCTGTGCATTATCAACTTTTCTGCTGGTTGCATTTTCTTCTATTTATGCTTGGTTTACTCATAATTATATTAGCATTTACATGTATGTCTATTTCTCCCACTTCACTGATTCTTCCATTCTACTTTAGTAGATATGAAAGGTAGCAATATATGTTTACTATTTAATGTGATTCTTCTTCTTCTACCAATAAAAATGATCATAATTATTTCCAGAGTTCTGCTCCATATAGTTTGATTGCTGATAGTCTCTTGCTACATTTTGTACACATAGACACACATAATACTCATTCAATCATTTGTGCATGTATTATTTGTTTGATGTTAAGAATATTTTTCTTACATACTGGAAATATGTGAACTTCCATTACTGACTTAACTTTAAGAGACATAGGTTATATCTTGATGTAAAAATAGGAAGTAGTGTCTTTGCATGCTTCCATGTTTTGTGTTAATTGCTAGCACTGTGTCTGTATTGATGTTCAGCCCTGAAGGAGGCTCCAGTGTAACATCAGCACAGGTTCAAGCAAGGCCAATTCACAAATGGCCTCTTCGCCCAGGCGTGCTTGTGCATGTGAATGGAACCCACAGCTTGAGTGTAGGCAGACCACCTCTACAGCAATATGATGGAGCTATTAACACTAGTACACCAAAAAACACTGCAACAAGACCAACCTGCTCAATATCAAAACTTAGCATGGGCAGGAAAGACCGCATTAAGACTGCTGCTAAAAAGTTGAAAAGGAGACATGCTACTAGCATTTCCAATCTTCAGGCTGATGATATTAATCAACACAGTAGAGCCACCAGGATTCGCCAGATGTTTTCCAATGATGCCAATAAATACCACTGTGAAAATTTGCCAGGGGTCATTCATAGTAAATCAGGAGGTAAGGAGGCTTTCCTCTCTCACCAGACTTTGTATAAGGAATTAGTTCTCAAAATTAATTATACTTTCATGAACTGATATAAAGTAAATGTAGAACTGTCTCTGTTATGATTAAGTCTGATTTAAAACATCACATTATCATGTAGAGTGTACTTCCAATCTTGCCATAAAATGAAACTTAGATAAGAACACCTTCAGTATATAAATTTTTATTTTAGCAACCAAAAGTGAAGTAATTAAGATTATAAGTAGCAGTGTTGCATTCTTTGAATGTGATCTCAAAGAAGAATTTAATTTGAAATAATCCTAAACATAATTCTTCATCATTGTTTAATTTGAGGCTTGGAGAAATGTGTATTATACTGGATACAGCATTGATATACTAACCTTGTAGTCAGTCACCTCTAAGAAATGTATTAAAGGTTTCAAGAAAATGGCTGCTTCATACATTTTTGTTTTTTTTGGGGGATTGGAAGAATATTACATTATCAGTGTGCCAGATTTGTTGAAATTTTCTGTAACAAATATTCATTTGAAAGTTGAATTCAGAAATTATACTATTTAACATAATTATTACGTGTATATTCAGAGCTGAAACTGAAGTTTGATTAATTCAGTTATTAAACCCCTACACTTTATTTATATTGCAATGAAGAAGCAGTTGGTTTTTGTAATCCATAGTTTCAGTTCTAGTATAGAAAAATTATATTATCACTTTTAGGCGGTGTGCACGATGTATAGACAGGGTCTTGGATTGGATGATTGTATTTTTTGACACCCAATACATTCAGCTCGGGACTACAGGCAATTATAGCGCTACTGCTATTTCCACACTTTACAGTTTGCCTTACACACACACTAGGGTTCTCCGTCCTCACTAGTCATATCCTGGCAATGGATTTATAACAGCCTCACTGTCACAGCAGCACACATTAAGTCTTATTTGCACAGTCTAATTCCATCCTTGCCATTTCTTCTCAATCACCTTTGACTACCATCTCTCTCAGTTCCCTGCTGCAACTGCCAACTCCAGAACTCAACTCAATTCTAATTCCTCTGCTCCCAGGCTCTTATGCTGGCAAGCTGGAACTAACTCAAACGGTCTCAGTCTGAACCATGCAGAAAACACAGCCTCTCTATTGTTGAAAAGGTGTGTTTACAGCACTGTATCATAGAAACGGAAGTTATTCTATTGTTGCTTGCATATTCATTGCCCCAGGAATGTGTTTACCAAGCAGTTGGGTAGCAATGGACATCTCTGATTTCACTATTCCGGATTTGGGGCATAATCTCACAGGATTACCATTTGTCTGAATTTGGTTTATACTCAGTTGATGCATGCAGTACCACAGCTCACATTGGAGAGTCAGTATAGATGAGCGGCATCATGTCTTTATACTGTTGAGTGTAAAAGTTTGTAACTGAATATGTGAGGACTTGTCACTTGACATTATACTGAATCATCTGCAACCAAACCACATATGTGTATAACAGAATTCCTGAGTACTGAGTCATACAGTATATAAGAAGAAGTAATTTAAAATATTACTTCTTCTTATATACTGTATGATTTCTTTGTATAAGGGACAAACTTTTTCCCATCAAAACAATATGTTGTTGTTATTGTTATGAATTGTGTTAATCTAGTTGTTTATCATGGTATCCATTTTTCTCATTCTTAAATACTGTATTGATGCCTCAACTTCTCACATGACCAATTCTCATTTTTCCCATTATTTTTCTTAATGCATTCGTTTCAGCTACTAGCCATCCATGAAAATTTTTTTTGATACTACTCCATAGTAGTACCTAAGAAGTGTTAAATGAACCCGTGATAGGTAATAATTCCAAGAATTTGTATTTGTAAATGGGAGGTCACTACTCAGTCTTCTTCCCTACCATGTTGGTATGCCCCATGCCACTGAAATATCAGCGCATGTCATACCTTGTGTACAAGCCTATTGTACCTAAATATGATTGTACTCACCAGACTGACAACAAAAATATTCAAATTACTCTTGTTATATGTTCTTTCGTAGTTCAGAAAAACTCCTTATTTCCTATATTCACTCACAATCTTATTTTGTTAAAGAATTTTAAGGTTGGATAGAATTGTTGATTTATTCACATTTTAGACATCATATATGTTGTGAAAATGTGAGGTACTTAGTTTTTGAGAGCATTATTGTAATAATATTGTATTTTTGCAGGAATTAATCACATTTGCTGTATCTTACCAGCAATAATAATCATAATAATTTCAACAATGTTTGCATGTAATCCTTTTATAAGTAACTTTCTGATACTTAAGATGTTGGTAGCATTATTATTTGTTCCAGTAGCTTTGTGATTGGCATGGTTTGTGCATTGTGTTATGTTTTTAGTGGTGACTTTCAAGAAATTAGATGGTCCACTCAACAGTGGTGTGTCAAGGAAGCGTAAAAAACCTGGGACAGGTTAGTGGATACTTGAATCTTAGTGTACATATTTTGCAGATCAAAACCAGAATATTGTGTGAGTATAGTTCGTTAATAAATAGACTTAATTTGCATAAGGTATATTTTCCTGAATGTCAACAGATGTAGTTTAGTTTATTTTGTACCATTATTTTACAATTATTGACTTACTGGACCATTATCACAAACTTTTAGATTTTATTATTTGTGTTTACTCAGCAGGTGAATAGAAAATGCCATGCTCTGTGACAGAATATAATAACTTGATTGCTTCTCACCTTCAAAATATGCATTAAAATATTGTGTTTAAAAAAGACAAAATTCTAACATTAATAAATTATGAAGAAAGCAGTCTTCTGGGATTTGGCACCGTGTATATGTAGTGTTAACCGACGTTTCGGAGGAACGTATCGCCTCCATCTTCAGGGTAGAAGGAAAAATATAAGAAATCCGCAGGTGAAGAGACTGTGAGAACCAGTAAAAGCAGACTGGTGTTGGAAATATTCACAGTCTCTTCGCCTGCGGATTTCTTATATTTTTCCTTCTACCCTGAAGATGGAGGCGGTACGTTCCTCCGAAACGTCGGTTAACACCACATATACACGGTGCCAAATCCCAGAAGACTGCTTTCTTCATAGTCACTGCCGTGAAAACCTCAAATCTTACATTACTAAATTAAATGGTACTTGCTTTCATAGTCATTTTTCAAACTCTGCTTGAAAAGGCTATGAATAAGAGAGAGTGTTCTGATGTCTATAAGGTTGGGACGGCATCTTTCAGGATAAATACAGTTTGTGTTTCTGCAGAGTAACCTCAGCACTGAACGGCCTGTGTAGTCTAGGGGTAACGTTCCCACCTCATGACTCAATGTACATGGGTTCAAACTCAGCAGAGGTTGTGGAATTTTTAAGGGCGGAAAAATTCAGGGAACAAGTCCTCCGGGAGGGACTTTAAGCCGTGGGTCCCGTGTCGTAGATTTACAGCATGTAAAAGAACCTCATGTCTCTAGGAGACCTCTGAGCTAAATTTGGCCAAAAAGTTTCCCGCCCAAAGTAGTTTCCAATGCCTCCGATAGATGGGGGAAGCGTTAGGTACCACTGCCAGAGGACTCTCTGACAGAAAGGGACTAACTGTTAGATACCACTGCCCGTAGAAGGTTGGAACCTCGCTGGCAGAAAAGGGCTGATAGTAAGCACCAGTACCGGTAGGGTATGGAGACAGTAGAAATTAAAAGGGGTACACACAATGGATCAATAACTGGTCTAAGTGCATGGGGAAGCCCAGCCCCTCAATACTGAATACTGAACCTCAGCCCTGAAAGATGTGTAGTATTGTATTTTATATTAATAATTGTACTTGATCATTTGTGTATATTCTTACATGCATCTGATAATAGCTACCTCATATTTCTACATAACATAAAGAGAAACACACAAACTTTAATTTATGCTAGTAATGAGATTGGTCTAGAAGTAAACACAAAGAAAACGAAGTATATGTTGCTATCATGTCACCAAAATGCAGGGCAAAATCATGACATAAAGATAGGTAACAGATGTTTCAAAAATGTGGCACAGTTCAGATATTTTGGAATGACTATAACAAATGAAAACCTGATTCAAGAGGAAATTAAGAGGAGATTGAAGTCGGGTAATGCTTGCTACCATTCAGTCCAGAACCTTTCATCTTCCTGTCTGCTGTCTAAAAACATAAAAATTCTAATATACAAGACCTTAATTTTTTCCTCTGGTTCTGTATGGGTGTGAAACTTGGTCTCTGACTTTAAGGGAGGAACATAGACTGAGGGTTTTTGAGAAGAGAGTGCTGAGGAAAATATTTGGACCAAAGTGACAGGATGCTGGAGAAAACTGCATAATGAGGAGCTTCATAACTTGTACTCTTCTCCAAGTATAATTAGAACGATCAAATGAAGCAGGATGCGATGGGCAGGGCATGTAGCACAAATGGGGGGGGGGGGGGTTGAATATAGGATATTGGTGGGAGCCAGAAGGAAAGAGACAGCTAGGAAGACAAAGATATAGATGAGTGAATAATATTAAAATGGATCTTAGAGTGTTAGGATCGGATGGTATGGACTGGATTGATCTGCTGAAGATCCTCCATAGATATTGCATAATATATTCTTCACCTTGCTCTGAAGAAGATCTATTTGGACTGTTTCACACTGTCCATCAGCTGACTCCCAGTGGCACTCTAGGATAGTCTGACACTTGCAGGCAGTTCCACTGAGCTCATTAACTTCTGTAGACTGGACTGCAGCCAGCAGTGTCCTTCAACTTAAAACATTGTCCAGGCTCCACTTTCTTTAGAATGTGCCCCATGTCAATTTTTATCCACTTGATCTTTCTCATCAAGTGATCAGTTAGGTGAACCTACCAGACAGAATGAGGTGCATGCAGGCCAGCTGATGTAGTGCCACTGCACACAACTTGTTTAAAGCAGAACTGGATTTTCATACTAGATGGCCACACCACAGCTCAGCAGTTAGTCACTGACTTCCCACCATGGCGGCCTGGGTTCAATCCCAGGTCTGGTGAAGTGGGATCTGTGGTGGACAAAGTGGCGCTGGGGTGGATTTTCTCCAAGTACTTCGGTTTCCCCTGCCAATCTTCATTCCACCAAATTCTCAATCATCATAATCACCCAGGGCAGGCTACAATAGGCCAATCAGTGGCCGGCATGCCGAGTGGACCCAGTTGGACTCCAGCCCCCACTAAGCGAATTTAAAAAAAAATGCCTACTAGATGATGACAGTATTACATAATATGTAAATAAATGGTCATATACTTTACTGTACTCCAGTATTGCAGACAAAAAGTATTCGGACAGCAGTGTAAGAAGTGTGTTTCCTTTTAATGACATTCACTCCCTCTTTATTATCTAACAAGAGGGTAAACTTTAAAAAAACAGATATTGTCAGGAAAGCACAAATATAGGTATTAATTTCCTGCTGGTTTGAAAAGAGACATAAACAATAATGACAGCTGTTTTATCGTTGTTAACTTTAGTCAGATACATGATTTGTATATAGTTATTTCATCATGCTGCACCAGCTATTGAGAACATGAACTACTAATTGATGAAATGGGAGATGAGAGAGAACACTCAAATACATATTACCATACTTAATTTCAAAACACTATATTAAGTTGTTGTAGGCCGTGCCATAGCTCAAGCGGTTAGTCACTGGCTTCCCACTGCGGCGGCCCAGGTTCGATCCCGGGTCTGGTCAAGTGGGATTTGTGGTGAACAAAGTGGTGCTGGGGCAGGTTTTCTCCAAGTACTTTGGTTTCCTCTGCCAATCTTCATTCCACCAATTGCTCCACAATCACCCTCACCTATCATCTGGGGCTTGTACAATAGGCCAGAAGTGGCCACAGTACAAGGGACTTAGTCCCACCCCACTAGCAATAAAAAAAAGTGGTTGTAGGCTCAGTGACAATTCACAAGAATGTATGCCTGCCATACTGTTTTATCACATTGAAAATTTGTAGACGGGGGTGGAATCATACCACATTTCATAAAAATCAGTTGTTTGGTTCAGAAGTAATATTAGGGCATACAGACAGCATGGTGATTTCATAATCTTACATTCCTGACTTCACTGCTACTCAGGATCCAGTACACGTCAGTAATGCCATATTTCCGTACCTGCTAATGGGTATTTAGTAAGTGATGTGAAAAGAATCTTCTGTGATTTGTGTTTCTTTACTGATACTGATGCATGATTCTTGTACATGGCAATAGGTGAAATGCTGAGTGTTGTAAGCAACTTCAATAATTTTCGGAATAATATTTGATTCAATCCTCTGTTCTGTATTGACCTGCATATAAGCAGATTTCAAATGTTCTGTAAGAAGATTATGAATTGCTGAATAATATTTTAAGACATTTCCAAGAATAAATTTCACAGATATGTCTGAACATGTAGGCAAAACCATAAAAATTATATTATAATACACTTATACTAAAATCTAATAACAAGACTAAAACTACATGGAATATTGTGAAAACTATTACAAACAAAAAAGGATCTGTTGATAATATAATTAAGATAAAAACAAATGATAAATTGTCAGAAAATCCAATTGATATTGCAGAAACTTTTAATAATTACTTTTCATCTATAGCTGAAAAATTACTCAACAATAAATTTTATAAACAATCTCCTGATAATAATAAGGATTTTTTATATTATTTACGTCAAAATTCACACCAGTTATTTCCAAAAATGAACTTTAGTAATACTAATTCTTATGAAATTAAAAAAATAATATTGTCAATGAAACCGAAGAATTCTCATGGCTATGATGAAATATCATTGAAGATTATGAAATCTAGTGCCCCGTATATCCTGTCTCCCCTAACATATCTATGTAATAAGATACTATTAACTGGTATTTTCCCAGATAGGCTTAAGTTTTCTGAAGTTAAGCCTCTCTATAAAAAGGGTGATAAAACTGAAATCTCTAACTATAGGCCAATCTCACTTCTTCCAACTTTCTCTAAAATCATTGAAAAGATTATTTATAGAAGAATTTATTCTCATTTAAATAGGAATAATATATTGGCCAAGGAACAGTTTGGATTTAGAAAAGAATCATCTACTGAAATGGCAACATATAATCTTTTAGATAATATATTAACTTCTTTGGACAAAAAAGAATATGTGGGTGGATTATTTTGTGATTTACAAAAGGCTTTTGATTGTGTAAATCACAATGTCTTACTGGAAAAATTGAAATTTTATGGAATCTCGGGTTCAGCAATAAAACTAATGAAATCATACCTTGAAAATAGATATCAAAGAACGATTATAAATGATAATAATTTGAATAAAGTATCCTCTAAATGGATGATGGTCAAACATGGAGTGCCACAAGGCTCTGTACTGGGACCACTATTATTTCTTATTTACATTAATGATTTCCCATCTTCCTTAAGAAAACTAGCTCAGCCTGTATTATTTGCTGATGACACAAGTATTATTGTATCTAATTTGAATCCTGAAAAATTTAGAAGTAATGTTACCTTAATTTTTAATGAAGCAATGATATGGTTTAAAAAAAACTTTTTAACTCTAAATTGTGATAAAACACAGTTTTTACAATTTTTCCTAAAGAAGCATAGAGAAATAGAAATCCAAAGTACAATTACTAATACATTAATTACAAATATTAATTGTTCAAAGTTTTTGGGAATAAATATAGATAGTTCATTGTCATGGAAAAATCACTTAACTTTATTATCAGTAAGACTAAGCAAAGCATGTTTTGCAATAAGGGCAATAAAACCCTTTATGTCATTGGATACAATAAAGACGATTTATCACTCTTATGTGCATTCAATATTGAAGTATGGCATTATCTTTTGGGGTAATGCCCCTTTTAGTAAGAACATTTTTAAAATACAAAAAAGAATCATAAGAATTATGTCTGGATCAGGAAAATATGATTCTTGTAGGGAATTGTTTAAAAAGTTACAAATATTGCCACTCCAATCTGAATATATTTTTTCTTTGCTTCTCTTTGTTATTAAGAATAAAAATTATTTCAAATTTAATACAGAAATACATAATATTAATACCCGTTATAATTACAATTTACACTTACCCTTTACAAATTTATCAATTGCACAAAAAGGAGTCCTGTTCTCTGGAAGCAAATTGTATAATAAATTACCTTTGAATATTAAATCATCATCTGGAGAAATTAAGAAGTTCAAATTTTTATTGAGAAGATATCTCACTGAACATGCATTTTATAGCATTGATGAATTTTACCAAACTACTTCCCGATGAATATTTTTATAATATTTTATTAATAATTTATTTTTTAACACACGATTACATTAAATTATGTAAATGATTTCAGACTATTGTATGACTGTGACAGGTATATATGATATTTAACTGGTATGTGAGGCGTTATATTTATTGCTTATATTTATCTTGAAACTAAAGCGCATAATAATCTTTTGCACTTAATATATTTTGGGTGGAATTGTATATAGAAGATTCATGTTACTGATAATTTAAATTCTTTGTTTTAATTTGTTTCTATTTAATGAAATCGTTATTACACTGTGTACTATTTTATATCGTTTTTATTGTTTATCTTGACTGTTTCAATGTTTGGAACTTATTTTAATATTATTATTGACATGTTCTATATCCAGGGTTGTATTTCAACCTATGTTTTGGATTTACTGAATTTGAAATAAATGAATGAATGAATGAAAATATAACTGAAACCTCACTGTCAGTGGGACTGAATTCTGCTTGTAGGGGCCAGACTTTTGTACAAATTACTTTCATATGTTTATTATCACTCTGTAGTTTCTCTTTCCTCTCTGGCATTAGAATAAAATCATTTGCTGTGCCATATTAATGAACTGTACCCACTGTTTTGTAGTGTTAATCTATATGTATATTTTTCCCTCTAAATAGTCTGTTTTCATAAGCAAGTACATTACATTTGGAATAGGGGGTGAGGGGGGGATTTCTTATTACTTAGAAATAAAGGAACAAATAATTGAGACCGAAGTTCTTGCATTTGGCCAGAACTGGATAAGATTGAAGTTATGAAAATATTATCATGTAGGAGTATATTTTCTTATCTAAACTGAGCATACATTCTTTATTCCCCTTTCTGTAAATCAAAAGTATCACTTAACTTACCTTCAACCTATTATTTTAATTTGAAATTATCCACTTTTTCAGCAATCATGTGACATATACAGAAAAAGAGGAAAATTTGAATGATGATAGAACTTTCTTGGCGATAAATTTGTTAGGGACGATATTGAATGTTGCATGAATATGTAATTTCATATAAGATTTGAGATTCTCTTGGCAGTAACTGTGAAAAATATTATCTTCTGAGATATTACACTATATACTCCAGTAGAAATTTACTGAAATTTTGAAAGGAACATTCTGCATCCATTTTCAGGTCAAAGAATAAGCCAGGCAAGCAACAAACAGAATACTCTGCTTCTGCTTACTTGTGTATTATTATTATTATTATTATTATTATTATTATTATTATTATTATTGGAGGGGGTGGGTTTCCCCATGCACCGCAACCAGTTTGATCTATTGTGCGTCCCCCTACAATCTTCTACCAGCCTCTATACCCTACTGGTATTGGTGCTTACCATCAGTCCCTACTCAGCCAGCGAGGTCGGCCTCTACTGGCTCAGAGGTATCTCAATGCTTCCCCCATCTACCAGAGGCGTTAGAGACTACTGTTTGGCGGGAAATGTCCTTAATTTAGCTCAGTGGCCTCCTTTGGAGACATGAGGTTCTTTTACATGCCGTAAAGCTACGACACGGGGCCCACGGCTTAAAAGTCCCTCCCGGAGGACTTGTTCCCTGAATTTTTCCGCCCTTAAAAATTCCATGACCTCAGGCGGGTTTGAACCCGCATACCTTGAGTCATGAGGTGGGAACGTTACCCCTAGACTACGGAGGCCGCTCGCTTACTTGTGTAACTTAATTTAATTCTGAAGATGGAGGCAGTCTTCCTACATAATGTTAGTGACCTTTTACCAGTAACACTGCAGATGGGAGCACTCTTGACTCATTTTAAATTTTATATGTAAATCATTATTTTCATCATAATGAAGTTTTACAATTATTGTGAATTGTTTGCAGACCCAAGTCCATCAGCTACCAAAGATAAATCAATGCCTGATCTTGCTGGGTCCCCAAGTGATGGCCTGCTACAGCCTGATGGGGACAAGGCTTTCTATGAGAATTTGCCCTTCCATGGCATGCAGTCAGCACCAAACAAGGTAAATACATTTTACATAATAACTTGCATCCCTCTGCTAACTGAACAGACATGAAATTTTAGTAGTATTTGAATATGTGTTTTGTAAGTGTAGTTATTGCANTTCTTGATTCATTTCTGAACTGAAATCAAAATATTTTTTTTTGTAGTGAAAGCTTTCACTTCATTTGCACTTCAAGCACATTACAAAGTCTGGGAATATTTGGAGATAAATAGATGACAGCCATTATATCCAAACACTAACCAAAGCCATGTGCAAAGAAATGTATGGGAGAGGCTCTTTTGAACAGTTATATTTTTGTCTTTGTATAGGACTCCTGGTTGCTGAAAACAAACTATGTTAACAGTAACTCAGTTGTTTTTAAATAGCCTGTTTTTATACTAAAGCTGTCCTATACAAACATGAAAAATGAGTGCCTACAGAATGCTTTTCCTGATTGCTGAGTGTGATGCCCTTCTGGTCTATTAATCATAGTTGCAATGCTAGTGTCACTCACTGAATCTCTATGTGGTTGTCCACTGCAGTGAATGTTTATTGAAAATATTATGTTTAATTTGAAATTTGGGACTCCTTGTTCTGAAACATTTTCCTTCTTATAGGATGCGGCTCTATTCACTCCACCTCTTGTTTTTGAAACTGCTGTCTAACTGCTGTGCAATAACTTTAATTTTTTATGTAAGTTAATTTTGTTCATGATTTCAAATCCAGCATGGTATTGGCACATTGATATATAAATAGACCAGATTTACAGCATGGTTTTCAAAATTAATAACCAAATCATCTGCTAATAAAGATTGCCTTTAATTGAAACACTCTGGCCACTGACTTAAGAACAATCTCTCTCTGGCCCCCAGATGTGTGTTTGCCTTTCCTGCTTTACAAGTCAGTAATCTTCCTTTCAATTTCTTAAAACTTTTCACATTTTTATTACATATTTTTGTGGATACACCTACAAACCTGTACACAAACATATTTATCTTCATTAATTGTGTAACTGCACACATTGCCCCCTTCGAATTTTTGGAATAATTTGTGTTAATAGGTTTCATTGTTTTCTCACTGAATATGTTTCGTGACATATGAATATGAATATGACAACCAGGGATGAAAGTGTAGAAAGCAATGGATATCAATCATCTGTCAAAATACATTCAACTACACTTCTCACTATAACATTTCATAATGGCATCAACATTTTTGCTTTGCACATAGTCCTTTCTCTGGATTTCTGATGAAAAATAACCTTTGCATTTCTTATAGGGAAAATGTCCTTTATAATTTTCTATACTCATATTTTCCTGCCATAAACACGTTTCATATAGGATGACCAGAATCCGTAAATAAAAATCTGTGCTCCCAATTTATCCTGGAGGAAAATAGGAATAGAGAATATTTTCCAAAAGTATTGTTCATAACAGTTTTCATGATAATGGTAGAAAATTAAATTCCTTAATATACTTAAGCATCTTGATGCATTGATCAGTTACTTGATTATTTATTTTTAGTTTTATTAATGCAACATTTTATATTCAAGCATCATGTTGTGTTGATTTATTACTTATTTATTTTCAGTCTTATTAATGCAACTTCAACAAATGTGTTAATAATGCCATATTATCAATTTCATTCACTTGCTTTAATATTGACACAACATGTTTTGGTCTTATGTGACTATCCTGAGATATATCATATTGTGAATGGCATCTTCATGTTGTGCTGACCCCGATGACAATCTCACCATCATGTCACAATGTCACAGTATGTTGCAATTTGTTTCATTGTATCAACTCACTATCAAGGGAAGCACCAATTAAAATTAAATAAGATTTGAAAGCCAAAAGCTAGTTATAATATGTTTTAAATTGAAGTGGACATTGGTTTTTCTTTTAGGAGGACTACTATAAGTCCACTTAGGAGGTCTGATGTAGATTTTGTTGTCAGAGTCTTTTGCTTGTTTGGAGTGCTATTAATGATGGTGGAAGAAAAAGTCCTTTGGAGGTGAAGTGCTTGAAAAGCTGCACCAAACCTACATATACGGTGTGTGGATTTTTAGTGCAGTTATGTAGCACGTCCGCAAAGTAAGTTTCCCACTCATCCCACAGCTAGCAAACCTTATATTGCACGAAGCAACTGCACATACGTGATAAGAGCAATGATGTAGCATGGTGCATGCACAAACGGAATTTCCCATGTTCCCACAGTAGCATCGTTGCAGCTGTTGAAGATGGAGGCTCTTATTCCAACTCCCGCCGACTGTGAAGTGCGGTCAGTGATAAAGTTTTTCAATGCACAGAGCATAGTGCCGATCAAAATTCATCGTCAGCTGTGCCGGGTCTATGGGCCTAACGTCATGAGCAAGCAGATGGTGCGTCGCTGGTGCAGACAATTTTCAGCAGGTCGACAAAGTGTGCATGATGAGAAGCGTAGTGGGCGGCCATCCATCATTACAGACGACCTGGTGGAGCTTGTGCGGGAACACATTATGGAGAATCATCGCGTCACAATTGTGGAACTCAGCAGTCATGTCCCGCAGATTTCCCACTCCTTGTTGCACGAAATTGTCACGGAGCGTCTGTTGTTCAGGAAATTGTGTGCCAGGTGGTTGCTGAAGCAACTGACACCAGAACACTAAACAAAGCTCATAGAGTCAGCATTGACCTTTCTGCAGCGATACCATGATGACGGTGACGAGTTTCTGGACCGGATCATCAAATGTGATGAATCGTGGATTGCACACATTACCCCAGAAACCAAGCAGCAGTCAATGCATTGGCGTCACAGTGGATCTCCCTGTAAGACGAAATTCAAGCAGATGTTGTCGGCACGGGAAGTGATGTGCACGGTATTCTGGGACAGACGGGGCGTTCTCCACGTCGACTTCCTGACCAGAGGTGAGATGGTGAATGCCGAGCATTACTGTGAAACACTGCAGAAATTGCGACGGGCCATTCAGAACAAGCGGTGCGGGATGCTTAATGCCGGTATTGTCTTCCTGCACGATAACGCTAGGCCACACACGGCTCGACGGACAGCAAGTCTCCTGCAGGAGTTCAGCTGGGAGGTGTTTAATTACCCACCCTACAGCCCGGACCTCGCTCCCAGTGATTTCCATCTTTTCCTACACCTCAAGAAATTCCTGTCCGGTGAGCATCAGCGGTTTGGGAATGACAGAGAGGTGGAGATGGTTGTCACACAGTGGTTCCAATCCCAGGCGGCAGACTTCTATGACACAGGTATTCAAAAGTTGGTTCCACGGTATGACAAATGTCTCAGTTCCAGTGGCGATTAAGTTGAAAAATAGCTGAACACTTACTGTATCTGTTGCAATAAATATTTCCATGAAATTGTGTTTTGTTTCTGTAAACGGTCTCAGGGAAACTGAGTTTGTGGACGAGCCTCGTATAGCTAGTCTATATTCAGTGGCTGTGGTGTTTGTGGTTCATCAATCACTCAGCTCCAAAGGATATTTTCAGCCACCATCATGAACACCACACCCAACAGGAGACACCGGCAACAGAAACTGCTTCGGATACCCACAGATGACACATGCATTAGAGTATTTATACTCAAGAGGAAAACTAGGAATTATTATCAACTTAAATTTTCACCATATTTTAACTAGTTTTTAATTTTCAAACTTCAGTTAATTTTATTTAGTGCTTCCCTCAGTAGTGAGTTGATGCGATGAAACAATTTACAACATAAGATATACCTGAGAATTGCCATGGAGGACTGAAACATGTATGAATAATGAAACAAGTGAATCAAATGTGACTGCGTGGCAGTAACCACATAGTCACAGAGACATTTATGAGAGTTTCATTAGTAAAATGATTAACCATTTAATAACTTTCCTTCTTTGGGAAATAATCTAGATTTTTCTTAAAGCTGATGCATTTCAGTTAGCCAGCTGTTTGTAAATCATGAAGAGAATATAGGTATAGAACACTCCAGCCATGCCCTGTGCAAGAAAGGTGGAAAGAAATTTACAATAATTTCAATGTGCAAAAGCAGCATGTTTTGGAAATCGTATAAGGAGGGTAAAGCTACTATGAAGTTTATTGAAACTTGGTTCTGTCTCTGTGTTTAAGTGACATTTGCAACTGATACAGAACCTTATTACACCCACAGGAACAAGGTTACATTTTACTTCAACTTTACTATGAGCTATTAAAGATTACTGTGTTCAAAAAATTATGAAGGGCCAGATAGTCAACAAAAACAAACTCCTTGGTTTTAGTCCGCAAGTGAACTGTACTGACCAAGCGACCGCCAGTTATTGATGAGGTTTGTGCCAAATTTAGCAGATAGAGGGTGTCATGTGGTCAGTGCAACGGATCCCCCACGGCTGTTAATCTTGGTTTTATAGACAGGAGCTGCCATTTCCTTGAAATAGCTCCTCGGTTATCCCATTAGTGCCACATGTGTTGACCAGATAGTCAATACATGTGACATTTATGGGAGTGACGAGAAATGCACGCTGAATTTTGATCAGAATACTAAAGGAATCAGACCAGTTGAACTATCTAGACATAGATGGGCAGATAGCACTAAAATGACTTTACAAAATAGTATGTGAGGTCATAAGCTGTATTCAGCTAACTGTATAGTGTCCTGTTGATGTCTTTTATGAGTTTGTTAATGAATATTTGGATTTCACAAAACTCTACGAATTTCTTGATCAGGTAATCATAAACTTTTTGAAGTGTATTTGGGGAAGGGGATGAGATGGGAGAGGACCATCATATATGCCTGTCTACTTCCCTTCCACCAGTAATTTCTACATAGGGTCACCCCACTGAAGCAAAATTAATATAAATGAAACAGTAACACAACTATAATGAGACACAACTGATACATATACAAAGACAAAATAAAATATATAAAACAAATGAGGGCCATGTGCGTACACACACACACACACAGACAGAGTCTGTGAAGTTACAACCACACATACTCTTTCTGCATATACAGCCATCAAAATGTATTCTCGACTAAAT